TTCGAAGGAACGAGTGGACTACTCGATTCGATCGAAGAAAGATACGAGCTACTACTACTTCCCAAGAAGCGGTGTTAATTACTTTTGGAATTTTAAGATATTGCGCAAACTCGAGACGACACGGCGAAGACTTTATCGATCTGCGATTGATTTTCGTGTGCCACTTTAATTATTTTACATGTAAGAGCATTTGGGTCGATGGGTGGGGCACTTGTTTCTCTTTTCTTATTAAGAGACGCGACATGTTACCAAACGAATGGGATTTATTTTCGAAGGACTGTATCACCGACAAGTGGCAGCGTGGGAACGTTCGACAAAAAAATGTCCCATTGATATTTCGGGAAAGTTAAGAGTATAAGAGTAACTAATTGGAATTGATTAAAACCAATGATATATGGATGTTTATTCGTTAACAAATTGGACTATCCTTGGAACTTATCTTTTCCTGTTCTATTCGCGTTTGCCGTTGCAGCACATCCGTTGGCGACGTATAAAAAGAGGCCCGCGTACGGTGGTTTGCCGTGTCGTCGAGTCGCGAGCATTTAGCTAGCGATAACCTCTCGCAAATATATACGCGGTTGCTTTAAGCTGACTTTAAACAGGCAACAACGATGGCGGGAGCACAAGCCAGCAGCACAAGCGACGCGTACATGCGTAACACTTTCGATACCGTTATCATGAGCGCCATTGCGCCCGTTTCCTGCCGCCAATCTCAAGTCAGCTCCTTTATACGGCTAGCGATATAAGCATACTGTGTTTCTTTACAACCTCTTACTACTCCATTTTTATATAAATATAATTGAAAAATGATCATATAAAACTACTCGTAGTATTTTTTCTAATATTTTTTTTTTATTTGATAATTATACCAAAGAGGAATAGAACATAGATTAATGTGTTAGACCTTGAAAACTCTGTCGAGTAAAATCTCAAGGATATCTATTCGGCCTTGTTAGTAGGAAAGTAACTAAGTTTAATTAGTCTCATCGTTGATTATCGTCCGTCATTCTTACGAGCGTATAATAGTTTAACGCTTCTTCTTATTCTTCTTGTTCTTCTTGGCTCGTACGGTCGGTTACTTTCCTTTGGAGATGGCTCATTGCTGGCTGCTGCTGCATTGGTTCGTTTATTTTTCAGCGGTTCGCGCGCTTGTCCGTACGTTAGCCACGACCGTGCAAGCGCACGTGCACCACTGTCTCGTGAATGTTAAGTTCGACGGGTATCCGAGAGCGGCCGTATTTGTAAATAGACGCAACATAGACGTCTTCTTGAATGAAACTCTTAAACCGGTTGTGTACCATTATACTGTCGGCGCGAGCGTGCCGCTTTACCCGGGTACCGGTGACTTCAACGAGTGTACAAGGAACGTTCCGAGTCGTCGTCGTCGTCCTCGCCGTTGTCTTCTTCTTCCACTTGGAGTATTCGAACCAACCCAACTTGCAACCATGTTCCGTACGATCGTCATCCGATACCCCCCTTTTTTTATCGTCGATAGCCGAAAAGCACTTTGTCCTACTCTCCCCTGAGATCTTTTAGAAAAATATATATATATATATATATTTTTTTTTCTCCAGTTCAACGATCTCTACGATGGAAATAAGGAATTCGATTTTTCAACGTTTCTCTTCTTCTTCTTGTTACTTTTTTTTTTTTTTCAAAAAAAGCTACGAAGACGACGTGTCTAAGAGAACATGCGAAAACGCCAGAACGATAATGAGCAAGAAAGATTTTCACGCACACTTACAAAAACACAGAGAGACAGCAATATGTATATATAGATATATCGTATAAGACGGATGACAAATGAACGCTCCTAAGATGAGGAACGCAAGCTTTGTCGATTATAACTTGTCGGTGGGTATTCAGACGGATGCCTGCAATTACGAGCGACACGACCTACGACAGAGTTCTCCTCCTCCTCCAACTTCTACTCCCCCTCTTAGGAATCCTCCTCGATGTATTCTCCGCCATCGAAGAAAAGACCCGGCGAATGTAACTTTGACCTCTCGTTGCTCCTCCGATCACCACGTCCGAACTCTCTCTCTCCTCTTTTGCAATTCAGTCAATCGAGTCAATCGTGATAATAATAATAATAATAATAATAATAATAATAATAATAATAATAATAATAATAATAATAATATACGCGAGATAACTTCCTCGATAGATCGATGCGAAAAATTCCAAACGACCAATTGTATTTTCGAGTATAACACGGCCTTGAAAGTATCAAAGTATTCTTTTAGAAAGGAAAAGAATTTTAGTCGCTGCCGAAAAAGGATGGAAAAAAAATAAAGAAAAAAGGACTAAAATATAGAAGGTAAAAGGATAAAAAATATAACGACTCACGGTCCCACCTCTTAGAAAACGTCATTCTTCTCTTTCTCTTTCTYTTCCTCCCATTTCTTGATCCGCCTACGCACTTACGTGCAGCCACCCACGCGGTACATACGCGGTGCGACAATCGACGCGTTTCTCATGAAAAATACGCGAAAGACAAACTCTCCTTGAATAGTCCGGTTGATCATCCAGGAAAAAAACAGTTGATTATCCTGATCGAAATAGTTATCAATTTTCTATCAGTTTGCTATCAGTTCCCCGCATATGAACAAATCTTATTCAAAATTGTCTTTTATTGTTTCGTTGAAAAAAACATCTCTTTTCTAGAGCGCGTGCATTAACCAAGTTCAACTTCGAATGCGATCTTTGAATGCTTCCCTGAACAGGGGCGCATCTCGCGAAGCGAGATGCCCGAGGCTATCTTCTCTCTCGCTGGGTGCCCATTTTTCACGAGTCCCTCTCTCTCTTTCTCTCTGTTCTTTTCTTTTTTCCTCTTTTAATTCCATCTCCTCCTTTTTCTCCTTTTAATTTCTCTCTTCGTGCACAAGCAGCCTTCCTTCCTTTGCCATCTCTTTCTTTCTTTCTCTCTCTCTGTCTGTCTGTCTGTCTTTCTTTCATCCTCTTCTTCTCACGAAAGATTCACGCACTCCTTCTACCTTTCTCTCTCCACTCTCCCGCCCCTTCTTCACTCGAGTGCTTCGATCCAAGCCCATCTCCTCCTCCTCCTCCTCCTCCTCCTCCTCCTCCTCCCTTTCTTTCTCTTTCTTTCTCTCGTGAATTCATTCTTTTCTTTTTCTTTGGTCGTAGCGGCGTCTACAACGGCAGCAACAGCAGCAGCGGCAACGGCAGCAGCAGCAGCAGCAACGACAACAGCCTCCTTTGGCCTCCTCCTCTCCCACCCTCCGCGGCCACCGCGTCCACGCAGGCCTCTATTTTCAGGTGAGCGTCCAGTGTGTGAGAAAGGGGGAAAGAATCGTTCGTGTAGATACGGGTCCATCGATGAGTCCATACCCCCGTTTGCGTTTCTTCTTCATCTTCATTTTCATTTTATTCTTTTTTCGGTCAACGAAAAAATAAGAGAGAGGGAGAGAGAGAGAGAAATTGTGGGCCCAAAAGATGTTGAGAAAAGAGTAGAAACGTTTTTCGAGTATGGGTATTTGTTTCTTCGTTCCCCCATCAAATCTTTCCCCAAAATTTCTGTCCGTATCCGCAGGTGTCCTTATACCACTGCTTCGGTGTTTAAGTAGAAAGAACCACTAACGTGATGCCATGAACCTTAAAGATCATTTTAAAATTTTCCCTCTATTCAAGATGATTTTCTTCGAATGGTCATCCACTTGTTTTAAATGAAAAACAAAAAAAAACAAAGGAACAATTGAAAATAATGAACGGGAATATTTTCATTGTATGAAAGAGAATCCGCCCTCTATTTCATCTCGTTTTCGCATAATCTTTTTGCTGCGATGGTAGTCGAGAGAGAAACGAATGAGATAAACGGGAGATAGAAAGAGAAATATATATATACATATACCATTAAACGACAGAATAGTGTTCTCTGGTAGGCGCGCTCGCGGACACACACCTTCATATCCGTTTCTTCGTTCGCCTTGTGGTTCCTCCGACCAGGTATCCTTCTCAAGGTGGCGATGCGATGTATAAGTAGGAATAGAAGGTAGAAAGAAAGAGAAAGAGAAAGAGAAAGAGAAAAGTAAAAATAAAAAGTTGGAGAGTAAGAAGGGGGGACAGGAACGTAGAAGACACGATAATGCCGGGTGGCCAGAACCTCGGCCGCTCGACTACCTCGTCGATGACTCGATGCTCTGTTTGTACCTGCGCAGGTCGACGCAGTGATGCTCTCTCTCTCTCTCTCTCTCTCTCTTTTCCTCCTCTTATTTCAATGTTTCTCTCTTCGTTTATATCTCGTCGTTTCTCCAATACACGTACGTTTCTCGACTACCTGCGCGTCTCACTATCTCCCTCTCTTTGTCCCACCTTCTCTCAACAACGAGGAATCTCGCTCTCTCGATCGGACTTGCTGGACCAGCTCTCTCTCTCTCTCTCTCTCTCTCTCTCTCACTCCATCTCACATGTTCCGAAGAGGTAGAACGTGAAGGAGGAGGAAGAGGTAGAAGGTAGAAGGGATGGCAAAGAAAAAGGAATTGTAAGATAGAAGAGGACAGATCGACTAAGAGCCCTTGGGGCCTTATTCATCTCTCTCTCTAGCGCTTACCTTCTCCGTTTTACTTCACAGGTCCCAGGACCTGGGACCAACGTAAGGGAGTGGGAGGATTGAACGCAATGTTGTGTAGAGATATTGGTAGACTGAGAGAAAGAGAAAGAAAGATGGAGGCGTTGTAAGGTGAACAGGTAAGAAGGGGAAGGAATGAGAGAGAGAGAGAAGGAACGCATTGGAGATCGCAGTGGATTCGAAAGGAGTGAGCGAAAGGGAAGACCGTGTCGATAGAAAGGGTGGGAGAGAGAAAGCGAGAGGGAGAGTGAGATAGAGAGTGAGATGGAGAGTTAGAAACGCGTATGTGTAAGAAAGGAGGAGGACGTCGAAAGAGAGGGGAATACGAAAGACACGAAGTAAAGAGCGGGATGCTGGAAGGCGGCGGCGGTGGCGGCCATGTTGCCGTATCCCAAGAGAAGAGAGAACGATCCGAGCGAGCAACAGGAGGTTGCTACGTTTGCTTGCAGCGGCGGTCAACTCGTTTAACTTTTCATTCGATTTTATATAATATTCGAGCGTACTTCTATGTGATTAGTGCGATTACAAATAATTCATATTTCGCGATTCGTAATTCCGTTGTCGCGCAGTTTCCGTTACCGTTACCGTGGTCTCCCGTTACCGTCGTCTTATTCGTTGCAATTCCAATCGAAATTGTCGTACTTTCTTCAAAATTCTATTACTTATTATCGTATTTTTGTTTCATCATCCGTTGTGCTTTAAAGTAGTTCCGACGACCACAACCACGACCACGACGACGACGACTGTGACGCCAACACCGACGCGTTACTCGCGTGTGACTTGTGAATCTTTCGGTACCACCTCGTGTTTCTCGTGCTTATTGCGTGCTTTTTAAACTAGGAAAAATAAAGAACTAAACAAAATAAAATATCTAAAATATTCTTCTACCTTTTGTGAACGCGAGTGTATAAAAGATTTTTCTAAATTACTTTTCCAAAAGAAAATAAAAGAATCAGAACTATGGAAAAAGGTTTCGGCATGACTTGACACTAGTGAAATATGTGCATTCCTCTCTTATTTCAATAGGAAAAATTGTTAGAATATCTGAAACTACAAAGAAAATATACAAAGGAAATATACATAGAGGGAGTAAATAAAGTCTACAAAATTTCAATATTCTTTAAGGAATTTCTTTACCTGTGTTGCACACAAAAAAATATTATCCCAAACGGAATGTCCGATCTAGAAAAGAAGAAGAAGAGTTTTCGTTAGCAACCACGTATTATCGTTCATCGAATTAACAAATTTACGAAAGAAAAAACGACGCCAGTGGACACTATCATCCGCTGAGATGTGATCCGAATACCGCAGAAACACTCGGTAGTTTGTAGTTAATCCCCACCCCCCTACCTCCTCCCGTCCCCTTGGTCCCCGTCCCCTGACCCCACCACCCACACGACTTATCACCTACTACCTCGCACTCTCTTTTTCGCTCTTCCTTTCTCGTACACACCTCTACTACCCTTATTTCTTTATTCCCTTTGATCCTTTCCTTCTCAAATAATTTCGTCGAATTATCTTTTTGCACTGCAAAACGATAATCTTTCGTAATTGTAATCTCAGCGATGCCGCAACGTGTTTAACGCTCGGTTCGATTTTGGTGTTTTTCTTCTTCTTCTTCTTCTTCCTCTTCTTCTTCTTTTGGTCTTCTTCAAATGCAACTTGAACGAGTAAGTATTCGATAAAACGTTTATTCACACTCTATCTATCATTATCTATCTTTATTTCATGTTTCATTCTCTTATATTCCGGAAGCTTTATTAGGTAATTTATACAAGAAGTTGGTTATGCGCAAATGCAGACACGCTCTTTTAGGGGTTGTATTCGATTCGGGTTAAAGTTACCTATTCAATGATGAGCAGGTAACGCATAGTTCACCTCCGCCAGTAGGACAGGTAGATATATTTCGAAAAGGTTGCCAGAGGAGAATCATAACGTTAAAGTCCTTTTCATGTCAGATTACTATAGCAAAGGTTGCGTTAGGCGTGAAGAAATTCAATACCCAATGGATGGACTATCTTATCCTACCAGTCAAGAAAGTGTCACGAAAACAAGATTTCGCGGCAAGCAAATTAACGGGGTTTATTTTCTTATTCGGAGAGAAAAAAAATATGCAAATAAAGAATGTGACTCGGTCCGAGAACAATTTTGTGGATATGAGAAATATAAAAAGAAAACAAAGAAAAAAAAAACAAACTCGTCTCATTTTCTTTTTCCATTTGGTTTCGGCGAAACAACAACGATGAACCCTTGGAGTAGGAAGGGAAAAAAAGAGAAGTTGTTTGGGAAGCTTCTCGAAGGATCCACGGTGTCTCTCGTTTCCTCTCTTCGTTTTTCTTGTCTTTTCCGTCTTCCTACGCGAACAAGAAGTGCTAATCGGTTAACCCGTCGTCCGTTCTTTCGGACAACGAACCGCAATCAAACGAGTCATCCGTACTGCCTAAACTTCTCACTAATTCTCACTTTCGAAGCACTTGAACAAGACACCTATACGCATATACGATATATGTATATATATATATTATACATATATATATATATATATATATATATATATATATATATATATGTGTGTGTGTGTGTATACGTTTTTAGCTAGGTAAATTTAATGACCACCACGAAGGAAAATCTAATGTTTTATCAAATTCACGACATTTTCGAGTTACTCGCGAAATTTCTCAGCAGTCCTCGTGCAGTAATACGTACGATCGCGCGTCTTCAATCCATGTATACTGTCAACTATACTTTTAGCAGAGGAAGAAGTATCATCCTCTCTTTGTACTATCTCGTCCGCGTCCTCTGTCTCCGGTAGTAGCGTCCACTGACGCGAGGCGAGGGCGTACAGGTACTTGAAATACAAACGGACCAACGGAGGTGGGTCCAATCTGATCCAGAGTTCTCTTTGAGAATCAGGTTAGACCGGCCGAACCTGCTCCTCTGGCTTCTCGTCTCTGGTCCGTGGTTGTATACCGGCCCCATGTAGCTACTCCTTCTCCCCGGTTACCCCAATCTCTTTCTTCCGCGTAGTAGGTAGGCATCAACCTACCTACCTACCTACCTACCTACCTACCTACCTACTTACCTACCTACCTACCTAACTAACTAACTAACTACCTAATGCCCTACCTACTCTCTCTCTCTCTTTCTCTCTCTCTCGTGTTCGCGTGCGTGCATCTCGTCTTTTCTTGTAAGGAATTCGAGTAAAGTAGACATACTGACCAAGAAAGAAGAGATTATTACTCTCTCGTCCTAGATGAAAGAACGAATGAGAGAGAGATAGAAAGCTTCCTCCTCGTTACATCTATTATTACACCTGTATTCTATTGGTCTGAGCGGCGCCCGCAAGCTGAATTCCAGTTTTGCGCGCTCGCCCTCCTCCAACCTCGAGCAACGGGAGCACGTGGAAGTGTAGTAGATGGAGGTGGACGAGCCGGAGAAGAGCGAACTGACTGGTTTTACCAACTTCCACCTGGTCGGGAGACGTCGAAGACGTAGAATTCGTGGTGTCTGACTGGTTTGGTCAGCATCCAAGGATTCTTGTCTGGCATTCACGTGATAGGTGAATAATGTCGAACCCGCTCCTCTGGATTCTTACTTCCTATCAGCTGTTACCACTCGACGAACGCGTACCATCCTTTTACTTTCTTCCACCCTTTTCTCTTCTTTCCGTTACTTCTTTTGCATTGCCCGTCTTTGGTTACGGTTATCGAACGTTTACCCAAATAATTCCAATGTTTATCATTCGAAAATATTTATTTTTACACGCTAGTGAGCTTAGATCTAACAAATGTAAAATACAGGTTGTTGTCTTTGAGAAAGGGGTCGTATGTTTATAATCAAAGTTTATATATATTGATTATTTTTTTTTTCAGATGTTTCTTCTTATTCTTTCTCTTTCTACTACTAACGACGTGCCATATACACATAGGAACCTGTGATACGCTATCTCATGCCAAGAAGTACTCCTAGATATCTAGTCGAAGATTAGCCGGAATCGCGACTAGAGGAAGACGGACGAGGAGAAAGGAAAATAAGAAAAGGAACAATAAAAAGTAAAAGATCGAGAGACGCTTTCGATAGTGAACGACGAACTAAAAAAGATCGGATCGGAGAACATACAGGACGTCACGATACGACGTGGAAAAAAAATCAGAAGAGAGTGCGGGAGAATGTCCACGTGCACCGACGAAGGTGACACTGCACCCCTGGACATGCAGGAGGCTCTGTCTCCGGTTAGTTTTATAATGTTTTATCCACATTTTTAATTTTACAGTCTTTTGTTAATTCGAATAGGACAAATTTTACGGTTCTCTTATTTTGTTACGATTTAGACAAAACTAAATATATAACTTTGAGGGAAATTTTATGTGGAATCCAATGTATATCTTTTCTAATGTAATTATCAGAGAATTTTATCCCAATCTGGCAGCCATTTATTATCAAGATAAATATATGATAATCTCAATTATACTTTTTCTCGTCACAATTTTCCCCGTGTAAAAAGAAACGCATTAATCATATATACGTCATCCTATGTGAATGTGTTGACTTTAAATTTCAAATTAAGAGATTATATATAAAAACATGTAGAACTTTTTATCGATATTTATTCCAAATGTTTGTTAGCTGGATTTTGTATATAATTAACGGTAACGTTATAAACATGTTTTATCTATTGAATATTAAAATATGTTAAAGAACGATGATCTCTTGTTAAAGACAGTTAAATGTATATCATCGTTTAGTTTTTTAGGATTCCCGTTGGATACGTTGTACGTAATCATTCTTCAGGGTCGTTTGTTCGTTGGTTGGTCGGTTGGTTGGTTGGTTGGTTAGTTGGTTGGTTGGTTGGTTGGTTGGTTGGTTGGTTGGTTGGTTGGTTGGTTGGTTGGTTGGTTGATTCTTTCTTTCCTTCCTTCGTTTATTCGTCCATCCGTCCGTCCGTCCGTCCGTCCGTCCGTCCGTCTGTCCAAGGGTCATCCCTTGACCTCCCCACCATTTTCTCTTTCCGAGTCCGTACCACCCGTAGAGCAAAATAACGAGTATAGCCGACCGCAAGATTATTGCCAGTCGTGTTGTTCCACTCGGAACAGAACTTCTGTAACGACCCTGAGATGCCAGAAAGAGGTAGAAGTAATGTACGAGTCTGCTCGAGGACCAAAAAAATCCCTTCCCTCACCTAGTATCCGTTCGTTTTCTTCATTTGAATGTTTAATCGATCCCAAATCTTTAGGATCACATTGATTTTCTTTTTTCTACGTTCTATAAATATTACACGCAACGTTGTAATATGTTTATTTTTATAACGTTTTACGATTGGAAAGATGAAAGAAAACTGAGTAAAAAAAGAAAACAAATCAATTTACAAAGATCGCGTACAATGAACGAACGCTTTTGCTCATTTTCATACTCGTCTTACATTTTTATAGCCTAAGATGGAAAAAAAAATGGAAGAAGAAAAATCAACGATAAAAGAACGGGAATTATAAATTTGTCTCTCGTTCAATGATTTATCGAGGATCGTTGAACGATCATCGACCGTTGCAAACGTTAAAGATCGAATCGTGTTAAGGACGAATATTTTTTTTATATTTTTTTTTTTCAAAAGATGACGCGCTCACTATGTTGTTGCTTGTGTTATAACGCTCGTATGAAAATCGTGCTAGATGATGATCGCGCTCTCGCTTACGTGATCGGCTTTGCGAATGCTTTTTATATAAAAAAAAAGAAAATAATAATAAATAAAAGTACAAATAAAAATAATAAAAATGCTTAGAAGCGTTCATTAACGAGCCTTCGAACGAGCATGAGATCCTCGCGATTAGAGCATCTTGCGCGATTATTTCTAAACGTGCGTGGCGTACGAACCGTATTACGAATCAGTGGCTTTCAAACGTCTGTTCGACTAAAATATACCTAATTATAGGGAAAAACCCAAAAACCTATTTTCCTTTCAGCATTATAATATTCAAATTTCAACCGATATTGATAGTACAAACTACATAAAAATAGATATAGAAAAATGTTCATGAGCCTAATGTTAATACACGTCATAAAAATTTATAGAACAAAGAAAAGAATGAAGAAGGAAAAAAAAGGATCGTTAATTAAATAGATAAATATTAGTTTTCAAATATCCCGTCAACAATATTTCCTTTCTACTACTAGTGTGTCATTAATTTCCATCCATTTTTCTTCTCGGAGTATAGAAAGGATCTTTTAAAGAGAATGAACGTGATCGATGCCATGAAAACCACTGTCATTAATGCATCTCGTTTTACATTATTAACTTCTATTACTGGTAGAGAATCTTAGGCCATACCGAAGAAGGATCGTTAGAGTAGAAAATCACATCGTCGTATTGTAAGCATCATCTCGTGTCTCGAACATTTACCAGTTAAACTTTTTTACAATAAAGTGAAAAAAGTAAGTAAGGAAGGAAGGAAGGATAAGGATAAGGGTAAGGGTAAGGGTAAGGGTAAGAAGGGTAAGGGTAAAAAGGGAAAAGGGTGTGAGAGAGAACGTAATGACTATTTGGCGTTGGGAATGGAGCGGATTAACAAGAAAGAAATAGTGGAGAATCGTCTCGAGACAGAGAGTGGAGAACATCCGGTGAACATCCGGGGAACATCCCTTCCGTAGAAGCTCCAGAAGGAGTGAAAGAAAAGCTTCTTAACGATTCCACGTATCTTCTTAGGGAGGATAGCCACGCGTTGTTTCACGAACCACAGCTGTGCGTAAATACGCTTACATGTAATACGTTGTATGTTCTCGATCGGTAAGGATCGCACGTACGGAAGAAACAAGATGATAGAAAGAGAAGGAAAAATATGCCTGAGGCAAGGTACGAGGGGATAGGTATCTTTCATGATATTGCCGAGTTCTCCATCTCTTTTTCGAGAGTTCTCTCACGAAGCACTCCGCTTGGCAGGCCAATTAACTATTATTGTGAAAAACTTGTTGCGTCTTAACAAAAACTTTTTCTCTCTCTCTCTCTCTCTCTCTCTCTCTCTCTCTCTCTCTCTCTCTCTATTTAATTTATTTTATTTATAACTATGATTGACTTTTTCTAATCGAAAAAGATCGTATACTTCCTTCCTCCTTCCTATCTTTCTTTCTTTCTTCTTATGCGTTATTAATAATCATTTTGCAATGATTTATTTTATCGATCACTTGACTCTCTCTTTTTCTCGACCCTTTGGACGATTCGACTTTGAAAATTCGAAGGGTTTAAAAATGTTAAACGAGATCAGAGTCCTGTGGCGAGAATCCCATTCGATGTAGGTGAACGAAACGGAAGCGCAGCAGGTACCACGAAACAGCGTTTCGTATCGAAGAAGTAACGAGAGGTTGCTCTTCTGAGCAAACGCATAAAACATGTCATAAAAACTCGTACGCGAGTACGATCGGCAAAGCTGTTCTTCTTACGACGGTGTAAAATCTTTCTCTCTTTCTCTTTGTAAATCCAAGGGAAAAAGAAAGAAGAAATCGTGATAAATTTCAAAGTCAAGGTGATACGCAAGTATTGGATTTTTAGAAAACGAAATTCTAATTAAATGTGAACGAAGAGATCTTTTATATTCGTTAAAATTTTATATGTTATTCGAAACTCGACATCTACTTTCGTAGAAAGTAAAAGTGAAAGAAAAAGAAAGATAGAAAGAGAAACGAGACATCTGCTTCGAAATAGATGATTCATAATAACGTTAATTACTTTAATGGACGTGGTGGGAGTTGCATTAATACGTAAGATATTTAATACTACGTTATTCGTATTACTTTACCTCGACTGGAAGAAACTAACAAAGTTGATAGACGAGAGAGAGATTGTTTGACATTTTTTGAAATTTTTATTTGATTCTTTTTTATTGCTAAAGGAAGATAAAATGTAAGTAGCGATAGACGAAGTTGTAAAGACGAAGTTGGCCGGTGAACGGCTAACACAACTCTTTCTTTGACGGGTTATCATGTCCGCATAATCGTTTGATCTTTCTCGTGCGTATTAGAGGAACCGAATACAACTATTAATTATTATTAGTGAAAGATGAGTTACGAGTCGAAAGGTAATGAGTCGAGTTTCGGACCCATCGTGTTCAACATTATTAATATAATTTCTACGAGCTCTTTGGTAGGGGTATACATACACGAGTACGCGTCATTAACATTCGCGAAATGTTAAAAGGATAGTTAGACGAGAGTGAAACACCTACGCGCGTACGTTATCTTCGTGGTAGCTACGAACCTATAAATTGTATAAATTGTATTTACGTCGCGTTTCGTAATGCAACGATTAATAAATTTTCATTTTCCTATAATTAGCTTAGGTTTTTATCGTCGTATCGATTTACTCTCGAATGTATTTACTTAGTCGTGTAGATATAGTTGAAAAATATCTAGTCTTTGATAAGTTACGTCAAACACGTATGTAAGTATGTTTGTGTGTATAGGTGCAGGAGGGACCTGTGTCGCCGGCATCCTCTTCCTTAAGCAATCAAAATCAAAACGAGAACGATCAGCAAGTTTTACTTGCGACGATGCAACCGGTGAACGTGTTAGACTTGCACGAACCACCGCCGGTGCATTCATTACATCCTAAGTATCATCATCATCATCATCATCGTCATCATCATCATCATCATCATCACCAGCAACAGCAGCAGCAACAACAGCAGCATCAGCAACAGCAACACATAAGCGGAGATCCGGAGGACGTGCAGCAACGTGGAACGAGCGGAACGGACGATCCAGACGGTAGAGTGACACCGGGAACAGAAACGTCTGGTGGAAATCCAACGTTGGCCGTCGGAGAACATAAAATGATCGATTTAATTTACAACGATGGGCAAAAGACAGTGATGTACACCCACGACAAAGAAATCATATACGAGAACGAAGCTGATCGAGTACAAGTAGTCGAGTATCCACCACCTCCACCCTCTCCTCCTTCACCCTCGCCACCCTCGGTCGTAAGTAGAACCGGACTTTTACCACCGGGTTGTGTTGCACCAAGAACAAGTGGTGCAACCGCAGCGGCACTTCACCTCCATCACTATCCTCAATTGCAACTGCAACACGAGGACGATTTACCGAGCGTTCGGCACACGGTAACTGCCACCGCGCCAAATTGTGGAACCGCTACCACCACAACGACCGTTCTTGTCCTTTCCGAGCTGGTTGCCGCCGATCCAGCAGCCGGTGCTGCTGCCGCCCAGCAACTCACACTCACGGCAGCTGCCGCTGCAGCTTCTTTAAGGGCAGGGTAAGTTTTTGCATTACTTTCTGTATTAACATCTAATTCTATCTTTAACAATAATCAAAAGTTTTATTCAGATATGAGCGCAGGGTTATGATGAATTATAAACATGAATGTTTTGAAGAAGTCAAAGCTGTGCCAATAATGACTAAGTAAAGATGCAGTTCTCCAGTTCATTATATGCACTGTTATTTACACTGTTATTTACGTTATTATTTACATTGCATGCCATATATATATAAATGTTAGTAGTTGATTTCCCGTAGTATGAAAGTTAAATCAATAGAACAAGAATAAATGTATGAAGGGGGTAGAGGGGTAGTAAGAAAGAAGTAGGAAAAGAAGTAAGTTAGTTGACGGTAGCAAAGTTCGACGGCATGCATGTTGGCATAAGATATAATAAAAGATCTCAGGGACAGCCCGAAAGATAGGCGTAGAACGCGTTACGTTGCATCGAACCGAACGGAGTGCTGCCGGGCACTGTTATCGGCCGCGTGTATCGGTTTGTCGACCAATTAAAAATGATCGTGCACACCTACTCGCGTGCGCGCATGGTCCATCTAGTGATCCAGCTAGTAGTGATCCAGCGAGTGGTGGTGCCGCGTCGGCAGTCTGCGCGGATAAGTCACGTTGCTACGCAGAATTTATTATTACTGCGCTCGTCTATACTGCACTCCTGCGTGCATGCATGCATGCATACTCTGGTAGGTACATGTGTAAGCCCGCTAATGCGCGCACGTACATATATACATTCATACTTACATATGAGAGACTGACTTTTTCGCGTATTGCCTTTCTTCATGGTTGTACACACCTATCTATAGGAGAATCGAGGAGAATATAACCGAGCCAATAACCATTAACCACGCACGCACTCTCTCTCTTTCTTTCTCTTTGTTTGTCTGAAACCTGGCTCGTTCGCGCCACCTTGCTCTTTTGCAATAAATAAAAATGAGTAGCAATTAATCGGCGGCGAGATATGCGCGCGAACGTTCGAGGAGACCTTGGGGGCCTCGAAAACAACCAAGCTCTCGAGAGAGCTCATTCTTTTCATATCTTTTTCACTCTCTCTCTCTCTCTCTCTCTCTCTCTTTCATACGATTCTTGTCCAGATCCTACATATATATGAATCAGATGTTTGCGTAGACGTATGTCGTTGCTCCGCACCCATCGAAACTTCTACCAAGTCGAATTCCTATTTTATTTTTATGATTCCTGGCAAAATCTTTGGGTGGAATAAACCTACTCGAGATCATTCAAGCGAATCGGTTCATCTTAAATCGAAAGGGATATCTTACGCGCAAACGTCGACTCGAGGAACCTGATTCGGTGCTTAAGCTCGTGGAATAAGTAGCTTAACTGTGATTTCACTTTTCTTCTTATTTCGGGAATCAACGAAGGGAGAACCGATCGAGGTCAATTTTAATAATCCCATTCGTCCATCGTGGAACCTTTCACAGAAGCATACTAACTTAAACGTAATCGTTTCTCTATCATTTCCGTTCATCCAAGAAAATATAGTATTTTTGATCGTATATCATCTCAAATATATGTACACCTCTGTAACCATTTGCCTGATATCCCCGTTCACGATCGATTCCTAACCAATTCAATCGATTTGTCTCGCCACAAATCACTTTCCCCATCGACATTACATTGTCAGATCGCGTTCGCGCGTCTCTCTAACAACAGGCTCGAACCTTATTTTTCGAAACTCACGTAGAATGGTGCCGGTAAGCGTAATGGTAATCGTAATGGTAATCGTTTAATGACGTAGCTTCGAATCGCTCGAAGGGTCGCCAGTACGTAATCTATGTTAATGCCACGAACAAGGTGGGTGAGCTCTTTCTCTCACTTTTCTTCTATTTCTTTTTACGTGTAGGCATAATGATAATGTTTTTCTCTACAAAACTACGCGTTCCTTGTATCACGGTACTACGTTAAAACTTTTTCTTTTTTTAATGGATTAACCCATTCAAACGTTTTATAAATAATTATTTTGAAAAGACAATCGAAAAGTATCACGATACGTATGAAACATTTCTCTCAATTACGTATATATATGTAGAAGAGAGATTTTTGGCATTACAAGAGGCACCATTTCGTATGCCCGCCAAATTGCAATAATGATGGTGCACCGAGGTAAAAACCGTTTCGTTCGTGGAAAGCAGAATGTAAGCCAGGGTTACCATCTCTTTCTTTCGCTCGATTCCTTTCTTTCTTTGGCTCGGTTGATTCCTTAACGTTGTCGTATCCGTACTCGCTTCTTGTTCGGTTCGAAGATGCCTTTGATCCTTTGGCGTTTTCACTGGTTCGTGCCTACCCGCTATCGTTTTAACTTATGTAGTATGTGTATACACGCATGTATTTTCGAAGTAAGTATTATACCTTGTGGCTGCTCGAGAGTTCTTCCCTCTTTCCTTTTACTCTTTGACAGCAACTCGTGCATCGAATGAAAGTACATATATAAAGAAATAAAAAGATAATCGATCTTATAATTTTTTTTCCAGACTCCCCTCCCACTTCAAACCCTACCTTTCCTGTATCGATTTATATCTTTATTTATTTATTTATTTATTTATTCATTCATTTATTTATTTCTACGAGAAGAAAGTCTCCCGTGTTATAATTCTATGTTATAAAAGGATATCGTGCGAGGACAAGGAAGATTAATTCGTACTACTCGACGACTAATACGCTAATCGTATCGATTTACTGACTATCGATCGGACACGTTATACGAGCAAATTATTACGTAGGCTGTACTCTCGCCACGAGACCTCGGAAATGGTATTAACGAGAGGGATTAAACTATCGATAGCGTTCGTTTCTCTCTTTCTTTCTTTCTTTCTTTCTCTTTCGAATGGCACGTTTTACACGTCGTCGACTTAGACGCAGTAGACGGCAACAGCAACGGCAACGGCAACGGCAACGGCAACGGCAACGGCAACGGCAACTGCAACTGCAACTGCAACTGCAACAGCAACGGCGGTGGTGCGGAGCGTCGATCGAAAGGTCAACCGCATAAGGATATTAGAAAAGTGTCATTTTTCTTTAATTGACACTTTATTACTTGCCTGCGGATTATTATTTTGCGGGAGGCTGCAATCTGAAACATAGAAATCCTTCTCGAGTCGCCATTTCGTAATTTGCATCGAATATTTTTTTTATATCTATTAATACTTTTTTCTTTTTCCTTTTTTTCTTTTTCATTATCATTATTCCGTTTTCCTTTTTTTTTTTCATCTACCTTTTTTTCCTCTCCCTCTTTATTTCCTCGATGCACGATTGACGAATAAAAGAAAGATATATATATATATATATATATATATATATACGATGGCATTGAACATTGAAGAAGAAGAAGAAGAAGTTTCCCTTTNTATATATATATATAATGAATAATAAATAGAATCGCGCATAATGCCGATAGAAAATATGGCAAACGCGACGAGGACGTTAGCCGAAGATAAAGATGGCAATAAAACTAACGTTTTACGTTCCAAGTTATAATATATCGTAATCGGTCAGAAATGGAAATTGTGATCGTGGATAAAAATTTAAGAAAAAAGAAAGAAATATTTTTATTTCCTTTTTGTATACCTCACATAAGTTTAATTATCGTTACTTATTTACCAGGCAACGCGTTGCCGAGTAAAATCCTCGCTAACGTAGGCCGTTAGAAGAGAAATAGAAAATCATTAGTAAATAATATCTATGGACGAGAGAAACATATTTTTCGTAAATCCGTTACGACACAACTAAGGTGTTATCGGTACGAATTCATCATACACGATAGTCAACCGGTATAATTATCATATATTGATAATTATTCGAGCAACGTTTTAACGGTGAAAGCGCGTGCGATCATAAATATAACTCCAATCGAGACTTTTCTTAAATGACAAGGAAAAAAACAAAAATAAGAAAAAAACAGAAAAATACCACACGCATACAAGAAGTACACAGAAGAAAAATCTAATCTCTCAACGTTATCCGTACAGCTTACTAGCTTTGCGAATGAAATAAAATATTAGTACTTTATATATCGTCTATCATTTTCGCTCTCTCTCTCTCTTTCTCTCTCTCTATTTATCTATATATCTATCTATCTATCCATCTATCTATTTATCTCTTTTCTATTCTCCACTCTTCAAGAACTAACGAATGAAAGTGTAGATCTCGTATGGCGCATGCGCATACGTACGCGTAAGCGTAAACGAATGCGTAGGTGAGGAAGTAAGATATAAGGTAAAACGATATAAGGTGGACGAGAGAGGAGGATATTTTACACACGTATGCATGGTATAACCATCACATGCAAGATGATCGTGCACGTAGAAGGTTACGATACAACTACGACGACAACGCAAAGACAGTGACGACGACAACGACGACGATGACGACGATGACGACGACGACGACGACGTCGACGACTATGACGATGACGATGACGATGACGATGACGATGACGATGACGACGACGACGACGACGACGACAACAACGACGTACAGGAGGAACGGAAGAAGGAAAGAATGATGAGGTAGGTGGTAGGAGAAGGTAGGAAAGAGAAGAAGAGGAGGTGGGCGCAAAAGTTCTCCGAGGAGTAGGAGATGAGGATGTAGAGAGCAAGATGGCCGCCACGGTCCAGTCTTCTACGGGGAAAATCGTCGGACCTCCGCGTCGTCCGTCTCTCCTTTTAATTCCCACCGCTCTCCCCTCTTCACCCAACCACCTCCCTCCTACCCTCCCTCGATTCTTCCTTCCTTCTCTCTCTCTCTCTCTCTCTCTCTCTCTCTATCTCTTTCTCTTTCTCTTTCTCTTTCTCTTTCTCTTTCTCTTTCTCGCTTACTCAACATCTTCTCGCCATCTTCGTCTTTTCTTCTTCTTCTACTTCTTCTTCTACTTCTTCTTAACTTCATAAGCGTGTATGTCGTATTTGTGTTTGTGTTTATGCGTACGCGTGTATTTCTCTTTCTTTCTTCCTTTCTTTCCTTGCTTCCTC